GGAGAGACTGTGAGGGGAGGAGGGGAGAGACTGTGTGAGGGGCTGAGGGGACAGACTGTGTGAGGGGCTGAGGGGAGAGACTGTGTGAGGGGCTGATGGGAGAGACTGTGAGGGGAGGAGGGGAGAGACTGTGTGAGGGGCTGAGGGGAGAGACTGTGAGGGGAGGAGGGGAGAGACTGTGTGAGGGGCTGAGGGGAGAGACTGTGAGGGGAGGAGGGGAGGGGGCAGTGATTAGAATGTAAAGTGAATAGAAAAAGAAAACTATACTTTATTCTTCAGCAGTTTCCTACATGTGACAGCGTTTCCTGACCATATCTACTTTCAGCTCCTTTCCTCCGTCCCTCTGGGAGTCCCCAGCGGAACCCGTCCCTTTCACGTCCTATTCTTTGAAGTGTTTTGTTTTCTTAAGCGTCTACTGAGTCCAGTTAGTCCTGACTGTTGGTGTGCTGGCTGGTCTTGTTGGCTTATTGTGCAGGTGAGGGTTTTTGTTGTTGGTGGTTTGGGTTTGGGGGGGTTGGGTTTTTTTGGGGGGTTGTTTGTTTTGTTTGTTTTTTGTTTTTGAGACAGTTGTCTCAAGTAGCTCGCCTAGGTTGGCCTCCAACTTGCTAAGATCAGAATGACCTTGAGGGACTGGAGACAGCTCTACAGTTAAGAGTGCTTACTGCTTTTGCAGGATGCTTGCATTTGTTTCCTAGCTAGTTATCTGTAATTTTCAGCTCCAGGAGATATAATGCCTCTCGCCTCCATGAGCTCATGTGTGTACATACATTTAATTAAAATTAAAATAAAATCTTAAGGGTCAGGGTTGCTCAGTGGTTAAGTGTGTTTGTTGTTCTTCCAGACAATTCACGTTTGGTTCCCAGCACCCGTGCTTGTGTGGTTTACAACTGCCTGTAACTGTCTCAAGGAATATTTGACATCTCTCCCTTCCATGGTCATTTGCACTTGTGTACATACCTGCACACAGACATATACATATCCATATCCATAATTAAAGTAAATCTTAAAAAAAAAAAAAGACTGACCTTCGACTCCAGAGTCCCTGCTTTCTACATTCTTTCTTACAGCTTCAGATAAATCTTTGCCCCACTTCACATAAATGAGATCTTAGGTAGTTTGTAGTAGTTTGAAGGCACAGATTTTGGAGGTAGTAACCATGCATGTAGTTTTGTTAAGTATTGCTAGATTCTCCTCCTTAGCATTTGTATTAACTGTGCTCCCAGCAGCCCTGTGAGAATTCCTCTCTCCTGTAACCCCACCGACAAAGTGTAGCATTATACTTACTTGTCAATGCTTGCTGATCTGATAGGCAGGCTCAGTGATTAATTTGCTCCCATTTCCATCCCCCTCATTTTGAGTGAGGTTGAGCATTTTATCACATTCTTGTGAGGCATACACCCTCATACATTGATTAATGGGGGTTCATTCTAACAAACGTATCGCCGGGCTCTGCTGTTTTTTGAACATCATATAGTGTACTTACACAGACCTATATGGTATAACCTGACAGCATATGGCACAGCCTGTCACTCCTCAACTACAAGCCTATATAGCATGTTAATATACCAGATACTGTATATGGTTGTTAACACTGCAATAGTTGTATATCAAAACCTAGGAAAAGGTTGCCAGGCATGGTGGTGCATACCTTTAATCCCAGCACTTGGGAGATGAAGGGAAGCAGATCGTGTGAGTTCAGGGTAAGATTGGTCTAGTCAATGAGTTTCAAACCATCCAAGTATATTTAGTGTGACCCTATCTGAAAAGAAAGAAAGAAAGAAAGAAAGAAAGAAAGAAAGAAAGAAAGAAAGAAAGAAAGAAAGAAAGAAAGAAAAGAAAGAAAGAGAGAGAGAAAGAAAGGGAGGAAGGAAGAGAGGAAGGAAGGAAGGAAGAAAATGTGGCATAAGAGGTTTTTTTGGTGGGGCTGGTAGGAGGCTCAGCGAAGAGAGGCCGTTTAAGAGCCTGCCGACCTGGGTCCACAGGGAAGGAGAGAATTGCTCCTGCAGATTGTTCTTTGATAGCCCCATTTGTGCCAGGGCATGTGGTCCCTGCCACCCCAGTACATGTGCACTCATACATAGTGAAGAAATCTTACCCACAAAAAAGCTAAAAACCATTATGCACATGACCTGGGCCTCGCAGACACACCCCGGGACATGATGACGCATTATGTAGACTTTATAATCACTGACACATAACTTTCCAAAAAATCTTCTTCAATAATTAATTAACATTAAATTACTTTTTTACTTTGTAAGCTAATTTGTTTATATGTGTGTAGTGTGGGTACATGAGTATGTGTGAGTTGGTGAGGGGGCACGCGTGTGTGAGAGTGTGAGTGTGAACATGTCTCTTTGCTCTCATATTTCATCCTAGAAGACATGAAAGACAGCTGTTCCCTTGGAGTGACTCCATTCTCTGATCAGACATACCCTCTTTGGCAGAGCAGCCTTTGTGTGAAGTGGTCCAGACCAAGCCAAGCCCCTGTGGGGAACTCTAAACATTGAATGGTCTTGTTGCGTGGCTGTTATTGCCTGGACAGCCTGCTTTGAAAAAGAAATCTGACAGGCCCAGGTCATGTGTTTATCCTAAGGCTGGCCATCCCAGGCTTGTGTTTTGGAGTGTTGAGGTTGTGTCCAGCCAGCCTGGTGGGTGGTAATCAAACACAGGTGGAGACCATCTGGCTGGGTCTGTCCCTCCTCAGCCAAGTAAGAGCTGGCCTGCCCACCACAGAGCTGGCTTAGAAACCACCCTATGTGGAGACAGATGGTCTGCATATGTGTGTGTGTGTGAATGCACAGTCATACATGTGTGTGCACACAGCTTTCTTCAGGGAAGAGATGTGGTGTGGTGTGGTGTGGTGTGGGTGCAAATGACTCAGTGTTCTCTCTCTGCACCATGGATTCTCTCCACTGTGCGGTGTGCTCTATAACGCATATGCTCCTTTAAGTCTGTTCCTCAAGTTTTTGTGGTTAGAAATCATGTATTTTCCTTGGCCCAAGATGAAAGCCCTGGAATAATAGTCTAATACACTTTACAAAGCTGTCTCTACTTGGTGGCTGCTTGAGATCTTCCTTTTGCCCTAGTGACCCATCTCCCTGTGTAGAGTTTTATTTAGTTGTTGATTTTTGAGACAGGGTTCTATAGCCCTGGGTAGCCTAGAGTCCACTGAGTTTTCTCTGCCTCTCCAGTGCTAAGATGAAAGGCAGTGCACCACCATGCCCCAACCTTCTTACAGAGTTTTAAAGTTAATCTCTTGTAACTCTGGATTTTCAAACTCTTCCAAACCTGGGGTCCCCCAAACCTGGAGTTTCTGGGAAGCATCCTCAATGTACATAGCTGTTTCCTCAGACTGTATGTGGATTTAACCCCAACATGGCAACTCATCAAGGAAACAAAGAGTGTAAATAGTGTCACTTTAAGCAACTTGTAGCCTTGTCTCCAAAAATCCATATGTGTAGTCTCTAAATAGATTCTGCTTCCCACATGGTAACCAAAGAAATAAGAAAAGCACACACACTTCCTTTGACTGTGATGATTTCTAAGGATGCCTCTTCAGTCAGAAAGGCAGCTTCTCAGAGTGATCTCTCCCCAATGGTTCAATGGAGCTGGATCTAACTGCACCTGCCCAAGCACACAGAGCCAAAGCTGGGACTCAGGTCAGTTTCTAAGGCTCAGGGGTTTCCTTCTACCCAGTGTCCCATCCCAGCCTCTGGGGGATGATGACCTAGGAAGGATGCTGCAAGGAGTTCTAGGGCTGAACAGCAATTGTGTCTTCAGCTTGCTAGAGGTAAGAGGAAGGTGTCAGCTGTCATTTTAGCTTATGGTTTGTGTTTGTATGCTTGGGAGTTTACATGTGTATAATCATTGTGGTTCATGTTTGTACAAGATATAATTACTCAAAATTACATGATGAACATACTTTAGTTCTTAACCCTTCTCATCCTGGCAAGCTTTGTGGAGCTCTTGGGGATGCCTACCTGGATACCTCCCTCGCCTGAGTAGGTATGGCATCCTACCAACCACATTCTGCTCTTGGATAACATTGTTGCCCTGTCTAGCAGTAATCTGTTTCCCTGAGACTCAGGGCTCCTGCGTGCTTCCTAACAAAAGAGTCAGGCATTCAGACCTCATGCTTACAGTCACCCTAAGGAGTGTGGTCACAGAAACTGTACTCTTCCTCATCCTGTTGCTGTTCTGCTTTGAGGTCCCGTGACTAAGGAGTGCTCATTCGGGGTAGCGAGTGGTATTCGATGACCTTGAGATGAGAGGGCCCTCTCAGTATTTCATTCTGCCTTAGGACCTGACTCACGTGTAGATTCAGGAAGCCAGTCAGTGCAGCTAAGAGTCCTGGTGCACTGGAGACCTGGTCTCCCCAAAGGCAGGATGGAGGAAGGCTGTCTTCACAGAGCACAAGCTGTGTTGTTGGATCACAGGATTTGTGTCCTTAGCAAATTCGGTGCTTACTAATGGTTTGAGTAAGTGAGGAACATAAGGGAGATTTTCAGTAGTGGTTCCTCTATTATACAAAGAGAATATCTAGAACCATAAATCTGGAAGCTATAACTCAAAAAAAAAAAAAAAAGTAGCAGTGTAGGTCTTTGGCTCGGCTGACATCATACATGTACATCCCCAGCTCACTGGTAAAGAGGGCTTTGGAGAGACTTCTTCACCCTGGAATCTCCACTGAGTTTGTTTTTGTTTTGCATTTGCATATGGGGACACCACACAAAGACTTTACGGAACTTTGTCCTATGGTAGTTAAACTGAAAATGTTTATTCCTTTCAGGTTTACAGGAACAGATGGGCCAAGTGGATTTGGTTTTGAATTGACATTTCGTCTGAAGAGAGAAACTGGGGAGTCTGCCCCACCAACATGGCCAGCAGAGCTGATGCAGGGCCTAGCCCGATACGTCTTCCAGTCAGGTAATGGCCCAGAGGTTTGTGTGCTGGTCCTGTGACCATCGGCTTGGTAGGCTTTGGGAACTTGCAGGTATATTTTGATGTCTGCAGAGTCCTTTTGTGGGTAGAAAACTATGTGGACCTTAGCATACAGAGATTGTGTCAGTGTCCTGATACCCTGAGGCTTTGTTGCTGTCTGTCATCACTAACCTCTTCCCCGTTCCCAGCGGCCTGGTTGTCTCTGTGTGTGTTTCCAGGCCTCAAGCACACAGACGCATTTTGGCTCAGTCTGGAAGAATAGTAGACTGGAGCTTGTTCCCTTCCCTCACAGGGTGGAGGGGATGCTAAAATCACAACTGAAGTAGATTATTCGAATGCCCTCCAAGACATTGTCCTTTGCTCCCACTGCCTGCTGGGGACTGCTGCAATGGATCTTGGGTAAGGCCTTTGTGCTGGGAATGTTGTTCTTACTTTCTTAGGTCACTGTGCCAGAACCCTCCAGCCTGTGGAGGCTTCAGAGCTCCTGAATACTCTCTGTAGCTAATGTTCAGGAGGTTCAGAGTACTTATGTGACCTAGATTCTGCTTCTTTGATTTGATATGTAGCCTGCTTCCTCTCACTTCCCATCCTCTCCTCACTAACATAATGACCTTGGCTAGCTTGAAAGTCACTGTGAAGATCCACCTCTCTTAGCCTCCAAGTGCTGGGATTATAGGGAACATGTAAACCTAGGAGTGTGTGTGTGTGTGTGTGTGTGTGTGTGTGTGTGTGTGTGTGTGTGAGAGAGAGAGAGAGAGAGAGAGAGAGAGAGAGAGAGAGAGAGAGTGTGTTTTGACAGGGATTAACCTGGGGCCTTATACATAAAGGCAAGTGGTCTGACACTGACCCATATCCAGCCTACATATTTTTATGTTGAGCAGTGTCTCATTAAGTCGTCCAAGCTGACCTTGAATTCACTCTTTAGCCCGATTACAGGCCTGTGCCACCGGGTCTAACTTTGAAAATAGATTTTTCTTTGATGTAGATTTTGATATGCTATTGGGATGGGGCTCTAAAGATGAGGCAACTTCTTGCTTGTAGAAACAGGTCCTCCAGCCACTGTTTGTTAATGTACTCACGTGTGTTCCTGCTCAGGTAGACGGAGGTCAGAGAAGTATAAAACAGATGCTACAAAATCACAGTAGTTTCTAATGTGAAGTCATTTTGAAGTTATAATGCAAATCAGTGGAAATAGGATCTTATTTGCAAATACTCATTCACATACAAAATAAATTTCACTAGTGACTGTTTTATCTTACACTCCACCCCCTGCCCTTTTCTTTTGATACAGAGTCTTGACATATAGCCCAAGCTGTTCAAATCCTCTCTAACTGGTTAAAGAGGTGATGGTGGTGCACACTTTTAATTCCAACACTTAGGAGGCAGAGACAGTATCTGTGACTTTGAGGCCAGCCTGGTCTACAGAGAGAGTTCCAGCATAGCCAGGGCTACACAGAGAAACCCTGTCTCAAACCCACAAAAGGAAAAAAGTTGGTTAGGGGACTGGGGAAATAGCTCATTAGGTAAAGTGCTTGCTACTATACCTGGCCACCTGAGTTTGATCCCTGGAACCCACATGGTAGAAGGAGAAAACCAACTCCTTCAAGTTGTCCTCTGACCGCCATATGTATGCCAGGGAACATGTGCCCACATACATATACACACAAATAAACGTAATTTATTACATTAAAAGAGAGTGTGTGTTAGGAGCTGATGAGATGGCTCAGTGGGTAAAGGTGCTTACTGCCAAGCCTGTCTCTGGTTCCCAGAAACCAGATGTGAAGAGAATCAGCTCCCTCAAATTGTCCTCGGACTTCCACATGTGTGCCGTGGCATGCACCTTCATCCTCAGTAAGTAATGTGTTAATTTAAAAAAAAAAGTTGTTAGGAGACAAGAACTCGCCGGGCAGTGGTGGCGCACGCCTTTAATCCCAGCACTTGGGAGGCAGAGGCAGGTGGATTTCTGAGTTCGAGGCCAGCCTGGTCTACAGAGTGAGTTCCAGGACAGCCAGGACTACACAGAGAGACCCTGTCTCGAAAAACCAAAAAAAAAAAAAAAAAAAAAAAAAAAAAAAAAAAAAAGAGACAAGAACTCAAAGATTCAGTCTACAGATTACTTATTTATTGATAGGAAAAAGACAAGCTGGTTAAAAGCACTGGACATTCTTATGGAGGACCTGAGTAGAGTTTCCAGCTTGGGTATGGTGGCTCACAACCTCTAAGTTCCAGGGGAGCCAACTCCTTTTTCTAGCCTCCATGAGCTGAGAGAATTTATGGGTGTATAGACATACATGCAGACAAAATACTCATACACATAAAACAAAAATAAGTACATCTTTGGGGGGGAATTATCCTGAGAAAGAAAGGCCTCAGCAGATGTCACCTTGATCCCCCAAAGGATCAAGCACAGCATCACTGCTAACAGAGTGTTACTGTGTGTCTGACCATGCTGCAGAGCCAAGTATGAGAATCAGCTGAGTGGCACTGTTCCTGGATCCAAGCGTGAGTTCCAGCCACACTGTGGGACATTCTACAGCACAGCCTCCTGGATTCCTGTACCTAGTAGGACTAAGATTTGCAGAAACATGGTGGTTCACAGACAAAGTTTGATCCTTGAGAGAGATTTGTGGACAGCTGGGGAAATGTGACTGTGGACTGTATGTTAGGTGCTAGTGTCCCACTGCTGTGAAGTTAGTTCCTCGTGTGGCTGTGGTATTGCGATTATACGGGGTAATGTCTCTGTTGTTGGGAGACAAAGGCTGAAGTGTCTATAGATAAAATGATAGTAAATGGTTCAGTAAAAAAGTAAGACACTAGAGAAAGAAAGCAAGGGCAGCGTGCTATTAATGAGTTAAGGAGAGGGTATCTGATATTCATTTTATTCCTTCTAACTTTCCTATAGGATTGAAAATTTTAGCACTAAAATTTGTGGCTCTTAAGTGTGTGTTGATAAGTGTGTGCTCTAAGTCCCTTCTGCAACAGTGGCTCCACGTACAGCATCTCCAGTGTAACTGATTGGGGATTCAGAACAACAGGGTGACTACACCCTTAACTGGAATACCCAACTTCTTAGTTTCTAGATTTTCTATGATACCATTGTACTATTTAAGTAATAGGTAAATTGGGTAGTATAGATCACACCTATAATCCTGGCATCAGGGAGACAGAGTCTGGGAAACTCTTGAGTTAAAAGCCAACTTGGGCTATATAGTGAGACTGCCTCAAAACAAAACAAAATAAAACAAATAAAAAAAACACCCACAACCAAATAGTTAAACAAGTCTACTTTAAGTTGACAGAGACTAATAGTAAGTTACTGAACCGCAGGATTATGATGAGGAGGGGACAGTGGTCCCTGATTTTAGGCTAAGGCCCAAATGGAAGTGAGGATAAGGACTGAATTGTCAGCGTACCTTGTGTGCCTCGTGCAAGGGTAGGCACACTGGTTTTGTTGATTTTGTGCTTACAGACACATCTTTCTATGGAAACCAGACTGACGTTGTACTTGGTATTCTCCTGCCTTAGTTTCCTGAGTGGTAGGCCGCTATGCTCAGGTTACGTACTTTTCTTTTTCATACTGGGGATGGAACACAGGGTTATGTCAGCTTTACAGTTGTAGAAGACAACATTGAGGTTAGTGACCCATTCAAGATCACAGTGTGAAGGCAGGAGGTGAGCCCACATAATGAATGAAGTGCACTTTACCCCAGTGTTGTATTGATAGGAGCTGGGAAGACATCTGGTCTACCTGATGCCACAGGCTGTACAATGAGAAATTTGAGAATCATCCATGTGGATAAATGCTGCTTGTATACATGGCTACTTGCTCTATGATGGCTGGCTCAGTGTTAAACAACACTAATGCTCAATAGGGCGACAGTCTTGGAGTTCTTGGAAAATGGAGCATGGTTAAAAAAAAAGCATTTATAAAAATCTCCAAAATCCTCTTAGGTTTTTATGTTTTTAATAGATGTTTTTATGTCATATTTATATTTTATATGTTATATTTAGCTTTTATGTTTTAAAACTTTGATATGTGTGTCTTCAGCTCCATGTGTGTTGTGCGCTTGTATGTTAGATAGGAGGACAACCCTGGCTATAGTTCCTCAGGAGCTATCTGCCATATGTATTTGAAAACTTACTATTATTGTATGCATATGTGTGACTGCCTACATATATGGGTGTGCACCACATGTGCTGTGTGCCTGATGCCTTCAAAAAGCTTTTTATTCATGAAAATCTGTGTTCAAAGTGCATATGTAACTGTACATGGAATGTTGCAGGATATTTGATCCCACTGTGAACCCGAAGATTGTGTTATCTACTGAAAAAAAAAAATGGTGTGGCTCAGCCTTAGCACACACCTTTAATCCCAAACGATGAAGGGAAAGTTAGTCTGTAGAAGGAAGTACCATGTTTGAAAGTGATGTCTATCTGGTTGGCAGACGAAGTGACAAATCAGAGAAAGGTTTGACAGAATAGGGTATGCTCAACTCTCATGAGGAGAGAGAGGAAGAGCAGGCTGCCTAGGGGAGAGCAGCATGGAGAGGAGAAAGGGGCAGCTTTACCAGGAGAGTTTCCCAGAGACAGACTGAAGAGAGAACAAGCTAGACACAGTGAAGACAGGACGAGCCAGAGAAGGAGAAGGAGCCAGAAGATTAGCCAGAGTTAGTTTGAGGCTAAGCAGAGCAATTCAGTCAGAAGCTGTAAGCAGCAGCCAGTTTGAATCAGTTGGCTTGGAGAGGAGATGAAGCCGGAACAGCTGAGTTGATCCAGCCAGAGCTCAGAAAGAGCAAGGGTGAGCTTATTTAGCATTAAGTCTCAGAGGCTGAAACATTCTAGGCCTAGATTAGGTTGTATGGAGGCTAGAAACTTCCAGGACTAGGCCTAGGTTAGCAGAGACAATAAGCCTCAGAGATGACAATTACTTCAGGCAAATAAAAGACAGTTGTACACAGAGTGATGAATTTTCATAAACTGAATGG